CTTCCTCCTGTGGTGCGTCGTAATCTTTGTTACTCTCTTATATTTCCTCACTTTGACTATGCGGACGCGGTTTATCCCGATCTCTCGGTGACTCTTCTGAGTAAATTGCAGCGGCTACAAAATAATTGTATCCGGTTCATATTTGACCTAAATAGATTTGAGCATGTAACGCCGTATCGCAATTACATTCAGATGTTAACCTGTGAGAGACGTAGATCCTTTCGTTTATTAACCATTTTATTTAAAATCCTTCATAACTGCACCCCAAAGTACTTATCAGATAGGTTCCAGCAATTATCAACTCATGAGCTTGCTACTCGTTCACGTTCTGATACTATTCTTACATTTCCCGTTCATAGCACTGAAATTTATCATAGATCATTTACAGTACAGTCGATTGCGCTGTGGAATGGACTGCCTTCTGAAATTCGTAATATTTCTAGAATTACTAATTTTAGACATGTTTTAAAGAGCCACTTGTTTGCCCTTCAACTGGCTGTTTCCTGATTCTTTGTTCTTTGTCTTTCTCTTTTTTCCTCTCTTCAACTGCTCTCACTTGTTGGATTCTGTTGGACTCTTTTAGCTGCTCTCACTCTCTCTCTCTCTCTTTTCGTGTCTTTTCTTTGTTTTTCTCTTTTTCTTGCTTGATCTTATTTGGTGATAAATGTTAATAATATCTAATTATCACTACTTGCCATATTCAGTAAATATTATTTTTGTTTTTTCTGTTGGGTCATTTGGTAGAGATCGCTTGTGCGATAAAATGATCCATTTGCTGATACTGCTTATATTGTTTAAGTGGGATTTTATGTATATATTTTTGTTCTTATTATTTTTTTTATTGTTTTTTCTTCTTGTGTATCTTATGTAATTTTGTATTCTTATTTGTGGCAATAAATGGTAAATAAATAAATAAAATAAATAAGTTCATAAGGGTAATCTAGCTTTGTATAAATGTCCATTCCATGAGAGGGTTTTCTCTAGGATTACTCCTAAATATTTGACTTCCTTTGAGAAGTCGAGTTTGACATCGATTTATGATACTTAAGATGTATTTTTATTATTTTATATCATTATTATTATGAAATTAATCTTATATTTCTTCTTATATTTTAGATAAACCGAAATGATACGATGTTTAATAATAATTGGTATGAACCTTAACATTATTTTTAGTAAACATCCACATGTTGGTAAATCGGCTGTAAGTTTTTAAATATTTTCAAATAAATAAATCTTATTCTTAAATTTATTTTTAATAGCTAGAAATAATTCATATAAATAAATATCCAACAGAAACTCATAACGTTATAACTAAAGATGGTTATATTTTGACGTTATTTAGAATTCCACACGGTATTAAAAATCGTACAAGAAATGGACGTCCTGTTTTATTAATGCACGGGATAATACAAAGTGCAGCAGATTTTGTTGTTATGGGATCAAATAAATCGATAGCTTTTATATTAGCCGAAAATGGGTATGATGTTTGGTTGGGAAACGCTCGAGGAAATCTTTATTCGCGAAATCATACTGATTTATCCGCGAAAAATAAAGAATTTTGGAAATTTAGTTGGCACGAAATTGGATTATTCGATTTACCGGCTATGATTAATTATATTTTAGATAAAACTGGTTATGCTAAATTACATTATATGGGGCATTCACAAGGATGTACTACTTTATTGGTGTTGTTATCGAGTAAACCGAAATATAACGAAAAGATTAATTTAGGGGTGATGTTAGCTCCTTGCTCTTTTATGACAAACATTATAAATCCGTTTATTTATTTTTTTGTTAATTATTTTTATGAAGAAACCGTTTTTTTAATGGTAAAAATTTAAAACTTAATTTTATAAATAATAAATTATTTTTGTAGGAAACTTTATCAAGTCATAACGGTGAATTTTTATCTCATCATAAAAACATTTCAAAAATTATTGAATTTATTTGCGCATTTTTTAGCAAAATTTGCTCTTCGATTTTATTTTTAATCATCGGGTTTAGTTATCGTTTACTGAATTACGTAAGAAATTAATAAATAAATAAACGAATTTCACATATTAATTTATTTAAGGAACTCCTCCCCGCAATTTTATCAAACCTTCCTGCTGGAATATCGTATTTACAAACAATTCATTTCGCACAAATCATTAAATCCGGACATTTTCGTCGATTTGATTATGGGGAAAGAATTAATAAAAAGAAATATGGTACAAAAACTCCTCCTGATTATGATTTAAAAAAAATTAGAGCTCCTATGGCTATATTTTATAGCGATTACGATTGGATTTGTTCGACAAAAGTAATTATTAATTTTTATATTAATAATTTTTTAAGTTTTTATATATTTTTTTTATAGGATGTTGAAAAGCTTTCATTCCATCTTCCAAATGTTGCTTATAAAAAGAAAATAACTGAAGAGATTTTTAATCATATGGATTTTATTTGGAACTCAATAAATTTTATTCAATATTACTATTTAGGTGTTATGAGTAACTATTAAAAAATTATTATTTTTATAATCATAATTTTTATTAGATTAAATCTTAAATGTTATCGATTTTTTTTTCTCCAATCCACTTAATTCAATAATTATTTTCAAGTGGTTTTTGTATTATAAACAACAATGCTTATTTTATCAGATTGCAATACTTTATAAATGCGGGGGGCGCAGATTAACGAAAGATTATTACTCTTTGGGTAACCATGGCGAGTACACATTTACTCCTTGCCTTTTTGGCATGTTTCAGCTTCGCTTATGGAGCTCATCCCGATATTGGTCTTAGCCCCGTAAGTATTATTTTTTTTTAAATATATTTATATAAAATAAATAACATTTAATATCATTATTTAGTTGGAATTAATTACAAAATATGGATACCCATTAGAAAGACATTGGGTAACCACCGAAGATGGCTACATTTTAAACATGCACAGAATTCCCCATGGTTTGAAAAATGCCGATGAACCAAACAAACCCCCAGTTTTAATTATGCATGGTTTATTAAGTAGTGGAGCTGATTTTGTTAGTTTGGGTCCAGAAAAAGCCATTGGTTTCCTTTTGGCTGATTTGGGTTATGATGTTTGGCTAGGAAATGCTAGAGGAACTACTTATTCAAGAAATCACACCACCTTAAATCCCGATGAGAAAGATTTCTGGATGTTCAGTTGGCACGAAATTGGTTACTATGATATCGCAGCGAAAGTTGATTATATTCTTGAAAAGAATGGTCAAGACAAAGTATTTTATATTGGACACTCTCAAGGAACTACAGTTTCTTATGTACTTTTGGCCGATCGTCCAGAATATAATGATAAAATGCGTTTGGTTGTTTCTTTAGGACCAGCTGCTTATATGTCTAGCATGATCAACATTTTCTTCAAAGTCGCAGCCATGGTTCTTGATGATCTTGTTGTAAGTTAATTAATTATTTTTTAGTAAATTTTGTGTAAATTTCTTTTTATTCTATAGACCATCATTGAAGGACTTGGTTGGTACGAATTATTAAGCTACAACGAAACCATGTCACACACCATCACCGAATTATGCGCCGAAGGTGCTGATTATCAAGAGATTTGTGCTAGTTTACTCTTTATGATTTGCGGTTATAATCTTCCCCAAGTCAATTATGTAAGATTTTTAAAATTTTAACTCTTCTTTTTAATATCTTTAATCAATTTCAACAGACCACTCTTCCCGTTTTAATGAGCAACGTCCCAGCTGGCATTTCTTACCGCCAACTTATCCATTACGGCCAAGAAATTAACAGCAAAAGATTCACTCATTACGACTTTGGTGCAGAACAAAATCTCGAAATTTACGGCCAAGAAGATACTCCAGATTATGATATAAGCGCTATTACAGCACCTGTTGCGTTATTTTATAGTGATAACGACTGGATTTGTGATACTAAGGTAAAAAAAATGTTTCAAAAATAATGGTTATTTCATTATTCTGTTTTGATTAGGATGTGGAACAATTACATTCGGAGCTGCCAAATCCAGCTTTATTGCACAAGAATGAAGACGAACGCTTCAATCATGTCGATTTTATGTGGGCTAACGATATTGTCCCGTTATTAAATGTTCATATAATTGATATTATGAGTAAATATTAATTGTGTGTGATTTAAATTTGTTAATAAAATTTTTTGTTTTAATTTGATATTTTAATTTGTTCATCAAAACCTTTTTTCAAAAGATTTTCCATAAAGAAATAAATTTAAAAAATTTATGACTAAACAAAATTTAATTCTACAAATGCTATCATTGTAGGTTTTGTTTTGTCATATTTCCTCCTAGAACTCCTTTTAGGTCTTCAAAAAATCCTGATAGTTTGCTTCAAAAGTATGATAAGTTTATGGCTAATAATTCCACGCCAAAGATTATAGCTCAGATAACAGTTCTTGAATTCATCGTGGGTTTTGGCAAATTAGAATAATTCGTGTTATGGCTATTGTTGACATCATGGTGCGAAGTTCTGCTTTCTCATTATATCATATTTAGCCACTAAAACAAAAATAATCAGATTGGAAAGTTGGATGGAAAAAACTAATGGTATATTATAAAGAATTACTTTGATTCTAGTCTTTTTTTTTAGTCATTATTCAACCTCTATCTTCTCTGTCTAGTATTTTTCTTTCATTTAGAGTCATTTTTAAATCTTTCTAATATCTGTTCAACATTTTTCTTGTCGTTCCAGTATTTATTCAGTCTGGTTCCTCTATAACTAGTTTCATTTTCGCCTTTCTGGTCTCTATTCAGCCACTTCCTTCTGTTACCAATCTGTTTCCAGTATTTCAAGTCTGCGTTCAGAATCCTTCTTTTCTGCCTTTATATAGTCTTCTATTATCAATTTGGTTCTAGTCGTTTCAGCCTTTCTAACTCCTTTCTAATGGAATATTATGAAGGATTACTTAGATTTTTGCTTCTTTTCAGTTATTATTCAACCTCTATCTTCTCTGTCTTGTATTTTTCTTCCCTTTATAGTCCCTTTTAAATCTTTCTCCTATTTGTCCAACATTTTTCTTGTTTTTCCAGTATTTATTCAGTCTGGTTCGTCTATAACTAGCTTCATTCTTGTCTTTCCGGTCTCTGTTCAGCCACCTCCTTCTGTTATCAATTTATTTCCAGTATTTCAAGTCTCGGTTCAGTTTCCTTCTTTTCTGCCTTTGTATAGTTTTCTATTATCAATCTCGTTCTTATCGTTTCAGCTCTCCTAATTCCTCTCTAATGGAATATTATGAAGGATTACTTATATTCTTGTCATCTTTTCAGTCATTATTCAACCTCTATCTTCTCTGTCTAGTATTTTTCTTCTCTTTATAGTCCCTTTTAAATCTTTCTCATATCTGTTCAACATTTTTCTTGTCTTTCCAGCCTCTGTTCAGCCACGTTCTTCTGTTACTAATTGAATCACTTATTTGAGAAACCAGATAAGTCCCATAGATACAGTTTTGAGAAAATTACAAAAAATTGTCTTTCCATTGAAAGGTGTAATTTTTAGTTAAGCTATTGATAAATATTAACGTAAAGTAGTTAAACAGTTTTTTGACAAAGAAGCAAAAATATTATAAAAGCAAGTTAACAAAAAGAGGAGTTTGAAAAATGGACATATCGACTTTCTCAAATAAATTTTTTAATTTGTTTCCAGTGTTTCAAGTCTCTGTTCAGATTCCTTCTTTAGTGCCTTTGTATATATATGTTTTCTATTATCAATCTCGTTCTTGTCGTTTCAGCCTTCCTAACTCCTTTGTAATGGAATATTATGAAGGATTACTTAGACTCTTGTCTTTTTTTCGGTCCTTATTCAACCTCTATCTTCTCTATCTAGTATTTTTCTTCTTTTAGAGTCTCTTTCTCCTATCTGTCCAACATTTTTCTTGTCGTTCCAGTATTTAGTCAGTCTGGTTCGTCTATAACTTGTTTCATTTTCGCCTTTCTGGTCTCTATTCAGTCACTTCCTTCTGTTACCAATCTGTTTCCAGTATTTCAAGTCTGTGTTCAGAATCTTTCTTTTCTGCCTTTGTGTAGTCTTCTATTATCAACCTCATTCTAGTCGTTTCAGCTTTCATAACTCCTTTCTAAGGGAATATAATGAAGGATTACTTAGATTTTTGCTTCTTTTCAGTTATTATTCAACCTCTATCTTCTCTGTCTAGTATTTTTCTTCCCTTTATAGTCCCTTTTAAATCTTTCTCCTCTCTGTCCAACATTTTTCTTGTCTTTCCGATCTCTGTTCAGCCACGTCCTTCGGTTATCAATTTATTTCCAGCATTTCAAGTCTCTGTTCAGATTCCTTCTTTTCTGCCTTTGTATAATCTTCTATTATCAATCACGGTCTTGTCGTTTCAGCCTTTCTAACTCCTCTCTAATGGAATATTATGAAGGATTACTTATATCCTTGTCTTCTTTTCAGTAATTATTCAACCCCTATCTTCTCTGTCTAGTATTTTTCTTCCCTTTATAGTCTCTTTTAAATCTTTCTCCTATCTGTCCAACATTTTTCTTGTCGTTCCAGTATTTATTCAGTCTGGTTCGTCTATAACTAGTTTCATTTTCGTCTTTCTGGTATCTATTCAACCACTTCCTTCTGTTAACAATCTGTTTCCAGTATGTCAAGTCTGTGTTCAGAATCCTTCTTTTGTGCCTTTGTATAGTCTTCTATTATCAATCTCGTTCTAGTCGTTTCAGCTTTCATAACTCCTTTCTAATGGAATATTATGAAGGATTACTTAGATTTTTGCTTATTTCAGTCATTATTCAACCTCTATCTTCTCTGTCTAGTATTCTTCTTCCCTTTATAGTCTCTTTTAAATCCTTCTCCTCTCTGTCCAACATTTTTCTTGTCTTTCCAGTATTTATTCAGTCTGGTTTGTCTATAACTAGCTTCATTCTTGTCTTTCCGGTCTCTGTTCAGCCACGTCCTTCTGTTATCAATTTGTTTCCAGTATTTCAAGTCTCTGTTCAGATTCCTTCTTTTCTGCCTTTGTATAATCTTCTATTAGCAATCACGGTCTTGTCGTTTCAGCCTTTCTAACTTCTCTCTAATGGAATATTATGATGGATTACTTATATCCTTGTCTTCTTTTCAGTAATTATTCAACCCCTATCTTCTCTGTCTAGTATTTTTCTTCCCTTTAGAGTCTCTTTTAAATTGTTCTCCTCTCTGTCCAACATTTTTTTTGTCTATCCAGTTTTTATTCAGCCTGGTTCGTCTATAACTAGCTTCATTCTCGCTTTTCTTGTCTCTATTCAGCCACTTCCTTCTATTACCAATCTGTTTCCAGTATTTCTAGTCTGTGTTCAGAATCCTTCTTTTCTGGCTTTGTAAATTTTCCATTATCAATCTCGTTCTTGTTGTTTTAGCCTTCCGAACTCCTCTCTCTTTAGTTTCCTCCTTCCAGTTACAGTCTCTTTCCAACCTCTCTCCTTTTTGCTCCTCTTGCTTATCACACCAATCTCTGTTCAGTGTATATATTCTATTACTAGTTTCTTTCAAGTCTTTCCCTTTTCCGTTTAGCTCATTTCTTGATGATTTTTCTTTTATTACTATTCTCAGGATCTTTTATTCCAGCATTTACAATCATTTTCTAGTCACCTTCTTCTTTTCCAAGCATTAATCTCGTTCTTATCATTTAAGTTTCCAACCTTTCTCCTTTCTGCTTTGTTTCTTTTGGCTCTTTCTAATCTCTGATTAATCTCTATGCTCACCAGTCTTTTTCAAGCTTCACTATTTTTCGTTTAGTCCATTTCTCCCTTTTCTCTTTCTTTTCCTACCATTCTGTTTCCAGTATTTCAAGTCTTTGTTTAGGATCCTTCCATTCTAACTCGCTTTCCAAGTCTGCTTTGCTTCTTTCCAGTCTGTGATCAATCTCTTTCTTCTCTTACTATTCTCGTTCTTATCACTCCCATCTCTGTTTAGTTTCTATCTTCTGAAATGATGGACATTTCCAACATAGCATACTATAGAACCATTGCATTGCAGAAAAGATCATGAAAATTATTACTTTATAATTAACACAGAGCTAACAATGAGGAAGATCCTAGGTTCAATACACAAATCTATTTCTGAACCATAACACCTATCTTGTTTTCAGCTATTAGGTAAAAGGAGTCTACCTCAGGGTTTTGGACCTTGATGAACAAAATCTTACTCAGGAACCAATGAGGTTGCCAAACAAATGATTTAGCGCAAAGACTTTTTGAAAAATTTCTGCATCCTTACAAAAACTTTACTTGTGAAGATTTTATTTATTGAACAGATTAAAATCGAATGTTTAAAGTTGCAGACTGTTTTTGACATTATCTTAAAAATATTATGCAAAAATCTGCAACAAAAATAAAGTCATCTACACGTGAAACCAATTGAAAAGATCTAAAAAAAAATGATTTAAATACAATATCACAAACAATTAAAGGGGTGACATTGCAAAAAGGGCTTTAAATAGTTTTAATTAATCAATTATCTTTTATTATGTTTTATTTTAGTTTCTAAATCAACAACAACTAATACCCACGTGAAATCAATTTTAAATTAATGAACAAAAAACGCATTTTTAAAGTACTCGAAGAAATCAAAAAAAAATAATTGTTGCCATGTCACATTAAACACTTAAACCTACTTAAGTACCACTTAAGAATGTAATCGCGAATCTTATTGTAATCCATTATTTCGCCCAAATCAATAAACACAATCGACAAATGTTTTTTAGATATCATCGATAACCTCAACAATCCACGGGGGTTATTTTGAACAAAAACTGATTTTTATTTTAACTTAAATATTCGCGTTATCTACTCTTGAAATTTTATATAAGCGAGTTCGAAATCGCTTCATCTTATTCCATTTGCAACCATGGCTTCGACAAGTTGGATCGTATTTGGGTTAATTTGCCTTCAAGGTACTCTTGGAGGATTAACCAGATCATCAAGACTTCACCCAGATTGGGGTCTCAATGTTGTAAGTAAAAATATAAAAATTTTAGAATCACAATGATTAAAAAAAAAATGTTTTAGGTTGAAATGTTAGAAAGACAAGGTTACCCAGTTGAAGTGCATCACGTAACCACACCCGATGGTTACATTTTGGGTATGCAAAGAGTTCCATATTCCCCAGGAATTAACGAGGATGTTCAAAATAAACCCGTTGTTTTACTTATGCACGGTCTTGGTAGTAGTGCGGCTGATTTCGTTAATATGGGACCTGGAAGAAGTCTTACTTATCATTTAGCCGAAAGAGGTTATGATGTTTGGTTGGGAAATGCCAGAGGAACTACTTGGTCTAGAAATCACACAACTTTAGATCCTGAACTTCAAGATTTCTGGTTATTCAGTTGGAATGAAATTGGGACGATCGATCTTCCAGCTATGATTGATTACATCACCGAAACTACTCAACAAGAAAAAATTTTCTATATCGGACATTCTCAAGGAACAACCTCATTCTTTGTTATGGGAGCTGAAAAACCCGAATATAACGATAAAATTAGACTTATGGCCGCTTTGGCACCAGCCGCTTATATCCCCAATTTACTTAGTCCACTTTATAGGATTTTATCTCCTTATTGGGAAGATTTATTGCCATATTTCGATGAATATTCAATCTGGGAATTGGGACCTCACTCAAGTCTCATTGATACAATTGGAAAAACTTTCTGCGATGAAGGAATTCCATACCAAGAAATTTGTTCCAACTTAATGTTTATTTTCACCGGTTTCAGTTATGATCAAATGGATGCTGTAAGTTAATTTACTTAAAATTTATTTATTTATTTTAATTATTTTAAAATTAGAACATGATCCCTGTTATGATGTCAAACGCACCAGCTGGAGCATCAATTCGCCAATACGTCCATTACGCCCAAAGCATCAAAGAAGGATTCTTTAGAAAATACGATTTTGGAATGGTTCAAAATTTAAATATTTACGGTCAAGCTACCCCACCAGATTACGATCTTGGTAAAGTTAGTGCTCCAGTTGCTTTCTTCTATTCAGCTAATGATTGGTTGGTTCATTTAACGGTAAGATTAATTTATGATTAACTTTGATAAATTTTGAAACCATTTTTTTTTATTAGGATGCTGCCAGAACTAAGAGCGAACTTGGTAATGTCGTTTTGGATCATTTGGTCGAACATAAAACTTTCAGTCACATCGATTTCCTTTTTGGAAAGAACGCAACTGAATACGTTTATAATTATCTTTTTGATGTTTTCGAACAATATTAATTTTTTTTTAATAAAAAAACCAAATATATATATTTTTTAATTTAGCTTGTTTTGTTTTTATTTCAAAAAGTTGTTTAAAAAAATAAGAGGGTCATTCCACCACTTGTGAGTCCAAGAATTGTTAAGAAGAAAACTTTACCTAATTATTAGTGATGGAATTTCTGGTACATTTCTGAAGTGATTGCCACATTATTGCGATATTTGAATAAAAACGCAATTAATAAGAAAGCTGATAAGATATGTCAACTTATTAGGATCCAAGATACAAAATGAACTTTTTTGATGCTGATTTAACTAAGCAACTCTAAAAAGAGGATACTTAATAAGATTCTCGATCATTTCAAAAATTTATATCTCAAAAACTAAAAGAGATTTTTCAAAACGGCTTGTTGCATTAAAAAGAGGATGCTTTAATTAATAATTGGTGATATTTCCACAAGGATCCTTCAAGAAATTAATTTTATAGCGAATTTTGAAGGTTATCGATGAAAATTGCGACATCGAAAATTTTATCAAAACTTCAAATATTGTTTTCTCAAAAACTAAAAGTTATTTTTCAAAACGGGTTGGTTAATTGGAAAGAGGACACTTTTATTAACGCTTTCGGAAATTTTCATACTCATATTCCAAGAATTCGATTTTATACGAATTTTTAAAACTTAATCGGTGAAAATTGCAAAATTTGAAAAGATTGTCGATCGTTTCAAAAATTTATTTCTCAAAAACTAAAAGCGATTTTTCAAAACGGCTTGTTGCATTAAAAAGGGGATACGTTAATTAATAATTGGTGATATTTCCACAAGGATTCTTCAAGAAATTAATTTTATAGCGAATTTTGAAGGTTATCTATGAAAATTGCAACATCGAAAATTTTATCAAAACTTCAAATATTGTTTTCTCAAAAACTAAAAGATATTTTTCAAAACGTGTTGGTTCATTGGAAAGAGGACACTTTTATTAACACTTTGGGAAATTTTCATACTCATATTCCAAGAAATCGATTTTATATGAATTTTTAAAACTTAATCGGCGAAAATTGAAAAATTCGAAAAAATTATCAATCATTTCAAAAATTTATTTCTCAAAAACTAAAAGCGATTTTTCAAAACGGTTTGTTACATTAAAAAGAGGATACTTTGATTAATAATTGGTGATATTTCCATAAGGATCTTTCAAGAAATTAATTTTATAGCGAATTTTGAAAATTGGGGTTCATTTCAAATTTCACTTAAATTTTGTTAAATAATGTTGATCATTATTAATTATTTCCTTTAAGTCATTGTTAAATTTAAGGGTGGGATTATTCTTAATTTTTAAAATGTTATTTTCTTCCAACACAACGAGACCTGCATTTTTGTCTCCCATGGTAACAATAAGATTTTCTATTTTAATTTTATGTTTTGGATTTTTAATGTTGCGAAGAATTGATTTAGTATGGAAAGATTTTATGTTGACGTTCTTATTCCCACTTGTTTTCCCTCACTCTTTCACCTTTCTCATCTGGCGAACGTTCCTTATGACCTTCAGTCCAATTTCACCCCTCATCATGCTGACTCGCTCAAGTTATTTAATTTTAAAGGAAATTTTAACGTGTTAATTTTGTAAGTTTAAAAATTTTCTTTCTTTTTTGATTTCTTATATTTAGCTATTATGGTTCTTTCTCTACAGGTTTGGTAACTTTTGAATTTTTCGTAAACTGAATCTTTTTGAAGAAGTTCTCTCCGATGCTTGAAACAATCTCTCTTCACTTTCGATGCTCCTACACCGACGGTAATTATATATACTTTTTATCTGTGTTTTTGTTATATCTGAATGTTCCTTTGTTCCCGTAGTCGTGCCTGAAGAAGAACGATAATCGTTCGAAATCTTCGAAGATAGCACCAAAATAAAATATTTTCATTGTTCATACGACTTTTAATTTTTTTAGCAACAAGAAACCACCAAATCGATAATAGAGGCATCTCCAATAGACCCCGAGATCAAGAAAACCTTAATCCCTCGGGAAAAATCAAGCAGGTGTCCCAAACTCTATGGTCTGCCCAAACCATTTCCACCGGATGTCACAAGTGGTGCGGGGGGTTCCTCCGGAACCTGACAGGCCATCTCTCAGGACTGCTGCTCCGGATCGGGGACGGTGTACAACCATTTTCCAAGTGGCTGACAAGTGCAGGGCGTTATCTCTCTTGTTGAAGGTACCGTTCTTCTATTTCGATGGACTCGCGGATGAGTCTGGTGCTCCAATGTGGAACGTTGGCTATTTCCATATCTGAAGCTGCTAGTTTTCCATATATACATATACATAGAATAATCATGCTAAATAATTTGATATTATAATAGTATTATTTAAGTGTTTGCCTAACCTATCCTTTGATATGGACTCCCCCGCTGATAGAATCAAAGTCATTCGGCTTGCGCATACTACATATCAATCCTATTACTCCACTTGGAAAATAACCATGATGCTTTGATCTCAATGAGAGTTAGTACTTTCATGGAGGCATTGTCGTTAGCGAGGCTTACAAACCCTCCAGCATGCCTATGAAGTGGGTATATTTGCATCATGGTTATTTTCCACGTGGAATAATAGGATTGATATGTTGTATGCGCAAGCTGAATGACTCTCATTCTGTCAGCGAAAGCAGTCGATATTAAAGGATAGGTTCGGCAAACACTTAAATAATACTATTTTAATATTAAATTATTTTGCACGAATTTTCTATTTATATGTACAGGGTGGGCAAATTTGGGTGTTATTATAGGATATCTCAGAAACTATAAGAGATACGAAAAAAGTAGGTGCCATGTCCCGGTCTCTTTTTTCGAGACTAACCCCATCCCGCAAACACCAAACCTCTATCTTCTTTTGTTTTTAAGTTATAGC